GACTTTCATTAAACCATTAATTATTTCGTTTTTTAGTAAAAAGGAAGCTTGTCTGCGAAAAAACTTGACGTGTTTTAAAGATACAGATTTGCGTCCTATCGCTATTGTTCGCATACTACCAACCACTCGACCATGAACAGATAATTCTTTGAGAAGCAACGAGTCAGGTATGCAGGGTGGCACATTTGACAAAACAACACGCGTTGCTGGTTTTACCAGCTGCTCAACAGAAATAAATTGGTCATCAATAACAAAGTCCATACTGATTGCATAATCGACTAAATCGGTGGATGACAAAATTATAACAACAGCATGGTTCATCCTGAAGGCAGCTATAATATTTTCCTCGCCGACTGAGGCTCCCATTGCATTAACGTACTGCTCTACTGTAAAGCTTTCAAACGATGCATACCTTACTGCATGTTCCGAGTAAGGGAGAAATCGGATGATCAATCAGTGGGGGTCGACATCTTGGCTGAACCCCACCCAACCACAATCAAAAAGCAAATCCAACAAAAATCACAGCAATCCGTTGTCAAAATTCTACAAAAGTACTAAAATAAGTAAAGCAATGTAAATACAAATAGAAATGTTTACAAATTGTAACGCTATTTACAGAGATCACGGAGTTTTTTGCCAACACAATGTCATATGGTAGGAGTACTCGATAGCAACTTGTTCAACCTGCAACAACTTGTTCGTGAAAACTAGAAGGAAATTGAACTTTCTCTTTATTAAAAAAGTTACAAAAATGCCACCATTTTCCAATATAAATAATTGAAATGACATTAAGAAAATATGCAGGAACATTGCCTTATATCATGTTCATGTGTGTGTTAAACAAACAAAAGTAACTTCAACAGCTCGTTTACTCATGGAGTATTCCATGTAAGTACTAACCACACCCGATTGTGCTTTACTTTAACCTTTAGTTGGTCACCTAACCACACAACTGCATTGATTATTTGAAAATAAGCCGAATTGGTGGCTATTCATGTTTTGGGTGTTTTAAAATCGATATCGCTTGCACAATATAGAGTTGACCTATGACCTCTACATACTTGGAGTAACACTACGGTACGCTAACAGCAATTTACGAATGTCTATTTACATTCTCGAACTTTTAACTATGGGACATGTTAATATAAAATCACAGGTAACAATCCTGAATGAAACTACCAACGTTGCAATCGCTTTTCATAACTTTGTAAGCAGTTTGTTGACTTGTGATAATCTGCTTACATATGAGGCACTCTCGCAACATTTACTTAATGTTTTCAAAATTTAACTG